CAGTCAGTCTGACGTCGATACCGGGTAAATTGGTGGAAACCATTATTAAGGAAAGAATTAGTAGGCACATAGATGAACAAAACCTATTGAGGCAGACTCAACATGGGTTCTGTAAGGGAAGATCTTGTCTCACTAACCTGTTAGTGTTCTTTGAGGGGGTGAACAAACATGTGGACAAGGGGGATCCAATAGATATTGTTTACCTTGACTTCCAGAAAGCTTTTGATAAAGTTCCTCATCAAAGGCTCCTAAGTAAGCTCAAAAATCATGGGATAGAAGGACAAGTCCTTTTATGGATCAAAAACTGGCTAGTTCATAGAAAACAGAGAGTGAGTGTAGGTGGGCAATTTTCTCAGTGGAGGGTGGTAAGCAGTGGGGTACCGCAGGGATCAGTACTTGGTCCACTGCTTTTTAACTTGTTCATTAATGATTTGGAGTTGGGAGTAAGCAGTGAAGTGGCTAAATTTGCGGATGATACAAAGTTGTTCAGGGTGGTGAAAACCAGTGAGGATTGTGAGGCACTCCAAGGGGATCTGTCAAGGATGGGCGAGTGGGCGTCAACATGGCAAATGGGGTTCAATGTGGCCAAGTGCAAGGTGATGCACATTGGAGCCAAAAATCCTAAATATAAATACACGTTGATGGGGTCTGAACTGGCAGAGACTGATCAAGAGAGAGATCTTGGAGTTGTAGTAGATAACTCACTGAAAATGTCAAGACAGTGTGTGACTGCAATTAAAAAGGCCAATGCTATGCTGGGGATTATTAGGAAGGGTGTTGAAAACAGATCAGCCAGTATCATAATGCCCCTATATAAATCAATGGTGCGACCTCATTTGGGATACTGTGTGCAGTTCTGGTCACCACACCTTAAAAGGGACATTATAGCTTTGGGAAAAGTGCAGAAAAGGGCAACTCGAATGATAAAAGGGTTGTAACACTTTCCCTATGAGGAAAGTTTAAAGCGCTTAGGGCTCTTTAGCTTGGAGAAATGATGACTGAGGGGTGACATGATTGAGGTTTATAAGATTATGCATGGGAAAGAGCAGGTAGAGAAAGAGGTACTTTTCTCCCTTTCTCACAATACAAGAACTCGTGGGCACTCCATGAAATTGCTGAGCGATCGGGTTAGAATGGATAAAAGGAAGTACTTCTTCACCCAAAGAGTGGTTAACACTTGGAATTCACTGCCACAGGAAGTGGTGGAGGCTACAAGCATGGACGGCTTCAAAAGGGAATTAGATAAGCATATGGAGCAGAGGTCCATCAGTGGCTATTAGCCACAAGGTATAGATAGGGACTCTGAGGCAAGTGATGCTCTGTACATCTTGGTGCTTGGGGGGGTCAACAGTGGGAGGGCTTCTAATGTCCTGGCCCCACTGGTGGACCTTCTGATGGCACTGGTATTTCTGGCCACTGTGTGATACAGAGTGTTGGGCTGGATGGGCCTTTGGCCTGATCCAACATTGGCGTCTCTTATGTTCTTATGTTAATGCAAAAAGGAGTTTGCAAGCGGCATCTCACCCAAGTCAGGTCAAAATGGGGAGAAAACCCTCTCCCTTTCCACTAGAAGCAAAGCAGTTCTCAGACCAGGAGGGCAGGAACACGATTTACAGTTATGCACGGGATGGGGAGAGTAGTTTTTCTGCCACTTTCATCCCACCGGGTTGATTCGAGGCAAATGAAAACATTCTTCAGATTCCCACCAGGGCTTGGGGAACTCACTGCCACCAGATGTGTTTACGACTGCTGGGTCAGAAGGCTGATAATTCGGTGTGATGTAGAAGTTAGAGTGTTGTACCGGAATCTGGGAGTACCAGGTTTGAATCCTTGCTCTATTATTGCTGGGTGACCTTGGTCACATGCTCTCAGCCTAATCTACCTCACAGGGTTGTTGTGAGGAAGAAAAGGAGGTTTACACAATTATGCATGGGATAGAGAAGGTAGAGAATTAAGTACTTTCTCCCTTTCTTACAATACAAGAACCTGTAGGTGTTCAATGAAATTAATGGGCAGTAGATTTTATAGAATCATAGAATGTTAGAGTTGGAAGGGATTTTGCAGGTCATCTAGTCCAACCCCCTGCACTCTGCAGGAGCATAGTTGAAAGATAGCTGTACGTACATACCTACAACATACCCAAAAGATGGTCGTCCAGCCTCCGCTTGAAAACGTCCAGTGAAGGAGCATCCACCACCTCCCGAGGCAATCTGTTCCACTCCTCAACCACTCTTACAGTCAGGAAGTTTCTCCTGATATTTAGCCGGTAACGACGCCCTTGTAATTTCCACCCGTTAGATCTAGCCTTGCAATCCGGAGCAAGAGAGAATAGATCTGCTCCATCTTCCACATGACAGCCCTTCAAATACTTGAAGACTGCAATCATGTCCCCTCTAAGCCTTTTCTTTCCCAGGCTAAACATACCCAACTCTTTCAGCCTTTCCTCATAAGACTTGGATTCCAACCCTCTCACCATCCTGGTTGCCCTCTTCTGGACACGCTCGATCTTAAAAAGAAAAGTGTTGGACTGGATGGGCCATGGGCCATTGGCCTAATCCAACATGGTTTCTCTTATGTTCTTATGTGTCATCTGCAAACCTGGCCAGTAAACTGCTTCCCTCTAGTTCCAGATCATTTATGGACAAATTAAATAGCAATGACTACAATGCCAGTCCTTGTGGACCCCACCGCTTACTTTCCTTCATTATGAGCACTGTCTGTTCATCCCTACTCTTTGCTTCCTATTGCTTAACCAATTTTTAATCCATAAAAGGACCTGTCCTCTTATCCCATGAGTTACTCAGGAGTCTTTGATGAGGTACGTGGTCAACAGCCTTTCGAAAGTCGAAGACTATAGTGACGACTGGGTCGCCATTATCTATGTGATTGTTAACTTTCTCAAAGAACTCTGAAAGGTTGGAGTGGCAAGACTGTCCTGTGCAGAAGCCCTGCTGATTTCCCTTCAGCAGTTAGCTCATACCGCTGTACCTCCAGAAGAGCTTGTGCCCTGTGATTGTCCACAAGTGGCTGATTTAAACAGGTCCTGTGCCTGGAAGGTGGGGAGACCTGGGCAACGACTCATGCAGAGATGTGGTGGGCTGTTTTACCTGACAGCACCCTGTGTTAGGCTGCTGGAAGGGCAAGCCATACTCATTTCCTAGCTGTTGTTGTTGTTCAGTCGCACAGTCGAGTCCGACTGGACCAGATCACGCCAGGCCTTCCTGTCTTCCGCCATCCTCTGAAGTTGGCTCAATTTCATGTTCGTTGCATCTATGACACTGTCTAACCATCTCATCCTTTGCCATCCCCGTCTTCTTTGACCTTCAATCTTTCCCAGCATCAGGGTCTTCTCCAGAGAGTGCTGCCTTCTCATTTCGTGGCCAAAGTATTTGAGCTTCAGTTTCATTATCTGGCCTTCCAGGGAATAGTGAGGGTTGATTTCTTTTAGGATTGACTGATTTGATCTCCTTGCAGTCCAAGGGACTCTCAAGAGTCTTCTCCAGCACCATAGTTCAAAAGAATCTATTCTTCAGCGCTCGGCCTTCCTTATAGTCCAACTCTCGCAGCCATACATGACTACTGGGAATACCATTCCTAGGCCCCGTTCACACGGAGCAGAAGCCACGCTAAATAGACGGAAGAGAGGCGGAGTTACCTGGCACGATCACACGGCAACATCTGGGGAGCGTAGAGCTCCCGTGGTTGAACTGTGGCGAACCGCCGATAAAACGGAGCAAAAAACTAGTACCTCGGAGGTACTAGTTTCCGGAAACTGCGGGGCAAGGGCGGGCGTCTGATCGCGTTTCCGGTGGCATCCGGTGCCCGTCCATGTCCCCTTGCGAAGAAGATTTTTTTTTTCCCCAAGTCTCCGTGGTTGCGCATAAGCACTCAACGGAGCATGCGCATTCGTAGTGTACACAAAAAAAGAAACCCAGTTCGCCGCGCCGCGCGCTTCTTCGTTGCGCGCAGGCATGTGTTGTGATCGACGCCTCTCCGTAACCACGGAAGCTCCACGGTACCTCCACAGAACCTCCACAGGAGGTATGATCACTTTACTGCGTGTTAGTTTGCCCCGGGGCAAACAGCCACACTTCTCCCCCGCAGTTTCCTGCGCGTGTGACCGGGGCCCTAGTTGAGGAGATCATAATTGGATTTCTTTTTTTCTTTTGCTGAGGGGAAAGGCGTGTTGCTCAAGTTATTCTCCCCCACAGCTCCTCTTTTGGTCTGGCTAACAGGAAACAATCCTGTGAATTCAGGAGAGGCCTCTTCCCCACACAAGGACTCTTAAAGTTGCCCTTAAAAAAATAAAGAATAGTTGATCTAATCTGGTATTGTCATCTGTGGTTGCCAGGGGCCTTCCAGGGTCTGAAGCAGTAGAAAAGAGTAAGAGTCCAGTAGCACCTTAAAGATGAACAAAATTTGTGGCTGGATATGAGCTTTCGTGAGTCACTGCTTACTTCTTCAGATAACGATGACTCATGAAAGCTCATCCCCTGTCACAAATTTTGTTCATCTTTACTGGATTCTTACTCTTTTCTACTGTTACAGACAGACTAACACAGCTACCCGTCTTGATCAGGGTCTGACATCTTTCCGAAACAAAACAGAATGAAAACAGGAGAAGGTGGGTATTGAACCTGGGACCTTCTGTGTGCCAAGTCTGTGCTCTTATCCCCTTCTCAGACAGGTTGCCCCTGGTCTCTTGGCACTACATTTAATGTGTGTGGCCAGGCTACATTTTCTGATTGTGTTATTTCCCCACTGTTGTTCTCAGGGAGAAATCACCTCAGCCGGCTACAGCATCAGTCGCATCTTTTTTAACAGTGTGCCTCTGAACCTGTGAAAGACTACACCTAAAGGGGATAGCCAGCATGAAAATGGAGGAGCAAGACCCAGCACGGTGTGTACAAGGAGAGGAATTAGAGAGTGCTGGGAAAGATCCCCACGTCCTCCAGGGTGGAAATATCGGAGAGGGCCTGCACAGAGTGCAGCTGGTGAAACAGGAGCCGTGTGAAGGGCTGCTTCAGCACTGGGAGGCACAGTGGCAGGAGTTCTTGAAGACAGTGGAGTCTCCTCAGTCAAACTGGGCCGTCCCACAGGCACTGGAGGAGCCCACCACACCATGGGGCAACCCGAAGGCCTTTCTGGCCACCTTTGAGCAGGTGGCTGAAGCCTGCCGGTGGCCCAGAGAAGAATGGGCGCCCCGGCTTCTGCCGGCCCTCTGCGGTGAAGCTGAGCAGGCCTTTAGCAGGCTGAAGGTCAAAGACAGAGAGGATTATGGGAAGGTGAAGGCAGCCATCTTACGAGGGGATGCCTTGAAGAGGGAGAAGCAGCGCCAGCACTTCCGGCACTTCCGCTACCAGGAGGCGGAGGGGCCGAGAGGGACGTGGCTCCGGCTGCGGGAGCTTTGCCATGGGTGGCTGAAAGTTGAGAGACACACCAAAGAGGAGATCCTGGAGATGTTGGTCCTGGAGCAGTTCCTGAGCATCCTCCCAGCAGAGATCCAGAGCTGGGTGCGGGAATGTGGCCCAGAGACCTGCTCCCAAGCGGTGGCCTTAGCTGAGGATTTCCTGCACAGAGATGCGGAGAGAATGGAAAAACAGGTGAGGTGGTTTTATGCGAGTGATCCTGAGAAGGCCGTAATAAGGGGAGAGGAACGAGGTCTCTGTGGAGGGGACCTACATCTACTGTCTCCCCCCCCCCCCCACATCCTGTTTCTCCCCATTTACTGGCAACTGGGCTTTCCAAGTCTCCTCCTTTGGTGGGCAGCCTCCCACCCTCACCATTGCTCAATTGGGTGGTGGGAGAAAAATGGGGAAGGAAGGCAGCCATCAGCATTCTTGGGGTCACAATGACATCACTTCCTGGGGTGGCCAGAAGTAGCACCATATTAGCACCAGGGCCAACATCCATTAGGCACAGTTAGGCTTGCCAAGTCCCCCCGGGGGGCGGGGAAAACCCCGCCCCAGAGGCTCATTCCCTGCTGCTGGCAGATTGGGCCCCGGGGGGAACCCCACCCCGACATGCACGTCACCCGGAAGTGACGTGACGACGCCGGGCACGCTGGGGGCGAGGCCACGGTCATCCGAGGGAAAACTATGGTTTTCCCTCAGATGGCTGCGGCCCCGCCCCAGTGTGCCCGGCGGCATCACGTCACTTCCGGGTGACGTGCATGCACGCACGCTTTGCGCCTGTGCGCACACTCCAGACGCCAGGCGGGAGCCCCCCGCTCCGGCTCGAAAACGACTTGGTAACCCTAGGCACAGTGCCTAGGGCCACGTGACTTTTAGGGGCCCACAGAAATGTTTTCATTTCTTCTAAAATCAGAAAAAGTAACTTTTAGGGTTGAAGAAAATGTTTTCATTTTTTCCTCACATCAGAGGGGGGGGGGTAATTGAAACGTTTAGGGCCCATGAACATTTATTACAGTTTGCCTAAAACAGCAAAAAAAATGTTGAAGTATTTAAAGTTATATCAAAAGTAATTTTTAATATTGATATCATGGTGGGAGGGGCCCACAAAGGCAAAAGGGCCGAGGGCCCACGAAAGTTGTAGTGTGGCCCTGATTAGCACTGGGGAGACTCTGTAGCATTCGGCCAGAGCTATCGTTAAACAATGGTTAAAACCAGGGGTCATTTTGTAGAAAAAGAGGTGCAGGAGCTCATTAGCATAACTCATTGGCATAACTTATTTGCATATGCCACACCCCCTGACATCACCGGAAGGGTGTCAGAAGGCAACACCCACCGCTCAGGCGCCACTGGACTGTTTTGGATTGCTAGTGATGGGGGGGGGACGTGCAGATCTGCCCTCACAGAGGAGGGAGAGCTTGTACCTGAAGGGGGGGGCTCTGCAACTTACCTGGCTCCTTCTTGCTCCTCGTGGCCCGACCGAGGGCTGCTGGGAGCAGGGGGCGGGGCTTGTTACATGTGCCCGCCCCCTGAACTCCTTATTGCCGGAGCTCCGCTCCAGTGCGCTCCCGCAGGAAATGACCCCTGGTTAAAACGATAAGAGATTTTGCGTAACGCTAGAGCACACCCGGTAGAGTCCCCCAGCAGTGACATCACCATGGCGTCAGCAACCTCACTACATCAGCGACAAGGCCCTACCGGAGTGGGTAAGTCTCTACCTGCATCAAGGCTCTGGGGACTGCCTAGAGTCTGTCCTCCTAGCCATATCCCTCATCCTTAAAATGGTTTCTCTCTTCTGTTTAGGTACTGACGCTGCTTGCAGAGGCGGCTGTGAGCTTCTCTGAAGCAGGCCAGGCACCGGGTCATTCCGGGCAGAAGCAGCTGTGCTTGGAAACCAAGAAGGAAGATAACGAGGAGGCCAGCTTGCTTGGTAAGGGCTACTGGGGCCTAAGATCTCAGCTGATCCTTAGAGATCTGGAGGTAGGGCTGCCAAGTGGGGGCGGGTGGGCGGGTAAACCCCCGCTTCGGAGGCCCGATTCCCGCCACTGTGGAATCGGGCCCCGGGGGGAACTCTGCCCCCCGAAGCGCAGCGTGGCTGCGTCACCAGAGGTGACGCGACCACGTCAATCACGTTGGGGGCGTGGCTCCGATTGTCGGAGGGAAAACTCTATGGTTTTCCCTCCGACGATCGGGGCCACGCCTTCAACGTGATCGACGTCGCGCGTCACTTCCAATGACGTGCTGGCGGCACGCGCGTGCAAAGCACGCGTGCGCGCACATCGACGGACGGCTCCCGGAGCCCAGCGAGGCTCCCCCGCCGGTAAGAAAAATTGACTTGGCAACCCCATCTGGAGGTACAACATCAGAAGTTTTGGCCATCTTGTTTTGGGTCTGAGCAGGTGGTCGTGGGAAGCAGACGGACGCCAGATAAATGACTGGAACCAGCAAAGAAAGATATCAAGTTGTAGTATTCCAGATCCAATGGTTTGTGAGGGCCAGAAAGCAACACAGAGCCGCAGGAATGTGTGTCTTGTGAAACCGGAGTAGGCTTGCCAACCTCCAGGTGGGGCCTGGAGACCTCCCAGAATTGTAACAGCTCCTCATACTACAGAGATCAGCTCCTGTGGAGAAAATGGCCCCTTTGGAGGGTGGGCGGCATGGCATTATAGATCCCTCCCCTCCTCAAACCCCGCCTCCCCTCGGCTCCACCTCCAGAAATTTCCTAACCTGGAGTTGGCAACCCTAAATTTCCGGGACCCTTTCAGGACTTTTCCCTGCATAAAGCACCACTGTTTTGTTGCTTGTTTGGTGTAGCCAGTTTGGTGTAGTGGTTAAGTGCATGGACTCTAATCTGGGAGAACCAGGTTTGATTCCCCACTCCTCCACTTGCACCTGCTGATGTGACCTTGGGTCAGTCACAAGCTCTGGCACAGCTGTCCTTGAAAAAGAGCCGTTTGTGTCAGAGCTCTCTCAGCCCCACCCACCTCACAGGGTGTCTGTTGTGGGGAGGGGAAGGGAAAGGAGACTCTGAGACTCCAAGTGAAGGGCGGGGTATTAATCCAATCTCTTCTCCTTCTTCTTCTTCTTCTTGTCAAATCCATATTTATTTATTTATTTAATTTTCAAATTTTTTATCCCACCCTCCCGGCTGAAGCTGGCTCAGGGTGGCTTACATAAAAACAGATAACTACTTTTAAATATAGTTGCAGTTAAAACAATTATAAAATCATAATAAAGTGCTAGTAATTATTGGTGTTCATATGACGGTAGCAGCCAGTATAGAAATTATTTGCCCTGTCGTTATTATGAAGTTTGACCCGCAGAATCTCTTTTGAGGTGTGCAAGATACCCAGACTTCAGATGAATTGGGTGGAAAGGAGCAATATTACTGTAGATTGTAGAAAATGTTCTCAGTTTCATAAATGTTCGACAACAAGTCGACGCCCGGGATCCAGTAGAAACATAGCAGCATATTTTGAGCTTGAATGTTAATTGAGATCAGCGTCCTATCTGAATTTAATATTCTTAAGACTTGTTGTCTAACATTTATGAAACTGAGAGCTTTGGCACCACTATAATATCGCCTGAAGAAGATCCATTTTTTTTTTAACGTTGTTATGTAATCCGGAGACGACGTTGATTATGTGATTATGTACCTTGGTTCAAGGATATTCTATTGAGTTGTGTATCATGTTGTGGTGCTTTAGATTGCAATATATAAACAGCATTCTTTAGAAGTCTTATGACTGTTTGATTGTGGGTCAGACTATCACGACTGTTGACTTTATACTTGTTTAACTGATTGGGTTGTGTGTGTCCAGGTTTTTTAGATAATGAGGACATCAGTTTTCACTACTACTAAATCAAGTTTATGGTGGGAAACTTATGAAGCCAGTTCAAAATGGTTTTGATTCTTCATCATTTTCTTTCCCCCATGGGAATGTTAGCTTCTGGAACCTTCTGTACATCTCCTCATTAAACTGTTTCTCATTCCGCTCACCTTGTTTGTGCCACCATGAGTTTTCGGCCCCAGACATTGGCCCTGCTTTGATACAGGTATGTGTTTTCTTTCTTGCAGCTGTGAAAGGCTACCTAAATTTAAGTGCTGAGCAAAAATATACCTCGGATGGCTCACAGCCAGGGAGACCCTACGGGACATTGGTGGGGAGAGTGGAGGAGAATGTTGTTTCCTGCGTCAAGCAGGGCAGCTTCCCTGAGAAGTGGCACAGACAGGAGTTCCAGGAAACCCATCCAGAGAAGAGAGCAGGTCAATCAGCCCCTAGTGTGGAAAGTCACAGGGGGGTCGGCGAAGCCACAGTTCAGCAAAAAGTTCACCAGGGTAAGAGGAAAAGCAGGTTGGCAGTGCTGGGGAAATCTGTCAAAACACTGGGTAAAATGTCTCTCAGGGTACCCCACATGATAAGTGTTTCACAGTGGGAGTCGGTATAAAAGCAGAGAGAATTCTTGTTTGTGGTTCCCTGTTTTCTCTTCATTTAGTGGCAACTCTGGTTTCTACTCATTGTTAGTTAATATTATAACTACACGGCTTGGGACCAGGGTATCTAGATCATAGAATCATAGATTCATATAGGGCTGCCAAGTGGGGGCGGGGGGGCGGGTTACCCCCCGCTTTGGAGGCCCGATTTCCCGCCGCCGCAGAGTGGGGCCGCGGGGGGAACCGCACCCCGGCGTGCACATCACCAGGAAGTGACGCTATGACGCCAGGCACGCTGGGGGCGGGGCCACGACCATCCGAGGGGAAACTCTATGGTTTCCCCTTGAATGGTCGCGGCCCCACCCCCAATATGCCCGGCGTCATAGCGTCACTTCCTGGTTACGTGTGTGCGGTGCGCGCGCGCACACGCTCCAAGATCCACCCGGGAGTCCCCCGCTGCGGAGGTAAGCGATACTTGGCAACCCTAGATTCATAGCATCATAGGGTTGGAAGGGACCTCCGGGGTCATCTAGTCCAACCCCCTGCACAATGTAGGAAATTCACAAATTCACAAAAATACCTCCCCCCCCCAACATCCCCAGTGACCCCTGCTCCATGCCCAGAATATGGCAAAAAAACTTCCAGAATCCGTGGTCAAACTGGCCTGGAGAAAATTGCTTCTTGACCCCAAAGTGGCAATCGGCATTTCCCTGGGCGTGTAAGAAAGGGCCACTAGAACTAAGCACTAACCCTTCCTGCCCTCCCTTCTCATGATCTGCCTAAGTTCACAGAATCAGCACTCCTGTCAGATGGCCATCTAGCCTCTGTTTAAAAACCTCCAAAGAAGGAGAGCCCACCACCTCCCGAGGAAGCCTGTTCCACTGAGGAACCACTCTAACTGTCAGGAAGTTCTGACGGACTGTCTTCTCCAAGGTGTCCCTGCCCAGGAATTAAGATTAGAGGGAGAAGCCCTCCTGCCTGTCCCATCGATCAAAAAAGCTCATCCGGTAGGTACATGAGGAAAAAGGACTTTTCAGCAGCAGCCCCACGATTATGGAACACCTTCTCCAGGAAGTTGCACTTTACTGCCTCGTTTTTGATCTTTTGGAGGCAAATAAAGTTTTTTTAGGACCACATTTGATTCAGTTACTAGACATGCTAAATTGTGGTTTTAAATTTTGGGTTTTATGTGTTTTATTTCATTGTAAACTGACTTGAGCTCCATAAGGAAGACAGGTGGCAAATAAATTTTAAAAACTGCACAATAGTTGATAGGGTGAGAAATGCACAATATAGGTCCCGGTCACACGGGTAAATGCACAATATAGGTCCCGGTCACACGGGAGGTTTAGGGCCGGAAGAGGGACGGATCGGGAGTGCAGCAAACGGGCGCGATCCCACCGCAACATCTGGGAAGCGTTGCGCACCCGTCCCCGATCCGGCCCTTCAGGCCGAAAATCCGTAGCTAAAACAAACCACCTACAGAGGTGGACTTACCAGAAAGGCCGCATCAAGTGCGGCCGTGGGATCGCTGGCGCGTCCTTCTGCCGGCGCATCCGAGGCTCCTGGCTAAACTGCGCATGCATGCGCAGCTGGCTGTCTCGGTCTCCGGTCGGTGGCTTCCTCCCCGGCATCTGATCATGCCGGGAGCAATGGCGCGGCAGCTCAGGGGATCTATGTGATCCCGCCGCCGCGTGTTTCTTTTGGTGCGGCTCTGAATAGCTGCACTTTGCCCGTGTTTTTTTCTGCCGTGTGGCAGGGACCATAAATGCTTATTCTTGGTGCCAGACACTGCTGGTGACCAGAGTATGGAGATGTTGTTAGTTAAATGAATTCCGTTTTTTTAAAAAAAAACTCTGTTGTTACGCCCCATCCGTCTCAGGGTCCTAGTTAATTACTCTCAGAATTCCACAATTAAGAAGGGTACATTTACATATCACTCTCCAATTCTGATATAATTATTTGCTTCACTATGTGTGTCCCCCCCCCAGAATTAAAGCCAAACAAATGGCCCTTGCATCTGTTAAATATCTTCATTATGTTGTACACTAATTTGCTTCTCAGCCTCTGTCTATATGTATGGACTGGTAACTTCCATTTCAATGTCTCTGAGGAAGTGTGCGTGCACTCGAAAGCTTATACCTTGAATAAAACTTTGTTGGCCTTAAAGGCGCCACTGGACATGAACTTTGTTCCATTGCAGAGTTAGTTACCTACATAAAAAAAATTTCAGCATACATCATTCATCCTAGTACATCTTACAGTTTGAGGGTTAGAATCAGAGCAAATTATGTACAAGACTTTATCTTGCCTTATATCTTCTTTAAGGAGCTGCGGTGGCTCAAGTGGTTAAGACGCTGAACTGCAGGCTGTGGAAGGTCAGTAGTTCAGCAGTTCGAGACCCGGGTGCCGCATGATGGAGTGAGCTCCCATCTCTAGTTCCAGCTCCTGCCAACCTAGCAGTTTGAAAGCAAGAAATTGCAAGTAGATAAATAGGTACCACTTCGGTGGGAAGGTAACAGCGTTCCATGCGCCTTGGTGTTTAGTCATGCCGGCCACATGACCACGGAAACGTCTTCGGACAGTGCTGGCTCTTCGGCTTTGAAACGGAGATGAGCACCGCAACCCTAGAGTCGGATTCGACTGGCTTTCGAGCAAGGGAACCTTTACCTTTACCTATATGTTCTTTGCACAGAGCAGAAACTTATCTACAGATATAGTAGTCCTTTGGTTAATGCCCACCAATAAGATTCTGAGAGTCTTCTGTGGAGAGAAAGTTTTTTTTTTTCAACCAACACAGGTTTCAAAAAATCCAAGCAACCTTGGGCCTGTCACACCCTCTCAGCCTACCTCACAGGGTGATTGTAAGGATAAAATGTACAGGGGGAAGAGTGATGTAAGCCACTTTGGGTCCCCACGCGGGAGAAAAGCAAGCCATGAATGAAGGAAATAAAAACATGAAACAGAAAGATAAATTGGAGAGAGAGTACCATGTCTAAGACAGCAAATGTTTGGGAAAGATCCTTCCCTGTGTAAGACTCCTAAAGGGCAACTGCAGGGCAGAATAGAAGAAGAGAAGGAGGAGGAGAAGATTGGATTCATACTCTGCTCTTCACTACCCAAAGGCGTTTCAGAGCGCTTTACAATCTCCTTTTCCTTCCCAACAGACACCCTGGGAGGTAGGGGGGCTGAGAGAGCTCTTTAAAGAACTGCTCATGAGAGAACAGCTCTGGAAAAACTTGTAACTGACACAAGATCACACCAGCAGCTGCATGTGGAGGAGTTGGGAATCAGTCCTCCCAGATTAGAGCCGACACCCCTAACCACTACACCAAACTACACCGAACACCAAATAGAGAATCCTGGGTTTGCTTCCTGTGGCAGTGAATTCCAAGTGTTCATCACTCTTTGGGTGAAGAAGTACTTCCTCTTGTCCGTTCTAACCCGACTGCTCAGCAGGTGCCCTCAGGAGGGCCAGGAGGGGGGCCAGGACACTAGAAGCCCTCCCCCTGTGCCCCCCCCCCCCCAAGCACCAAGAACACAGAGCATCACTTGCCCCAGACAGAGTGTTCCATCTATACTTTGTGGCTAAGGGCCACTGAAATACTTCTGCTTCATATGATTATCTAATCCCCTCTTGAAGCTGTCTGTGCTTGCAACTGCCACCACTTCCTGTGGCAGTGAATTCCACATGTTAATGACTCTTTGGGTGAAGTAAGGACGTCCTTTTATCTGTTCTAATCCTATTGCTCATTGCAGGTGTGCAAACAGTCTGTCTTAGTATAAGGTAGTTTCCTGGAGGGCTTAGTGATAAGAGTATCTGCTTGGCAAGCAAAAGGTCACTGGTTCAATCCTCAGCATTCCCAGTTAAAAGGTGCACTAGATGATTTGAAAAACCTCTGCCTGAAACCCTGGAGAGCCTCTGACAGTCTTAGACAGTACTGACCTTTAAATAAATATATAAAATTTTAGAAAATATATAAGGGGTCCAAAAGGAAAGAAGGGTTATATAGTAATATATAAGCAATACAAAAGGGTACTTTACAGAATATAGAAAACAGAAAATATTTCTCCATAATAATTATTATTAATAGTTCATCATTTCTACTTACTATTTATTGCTTTTAATATACCAAATTTTATAGGAAAATCTATTATATATCTCATGGTAAACAATATATCTCACAATAAAGAATTATATATTATATATCTCACAGTAAACAATAGGGAGTATTTTTGTTCAAAAATCATTTCATATTCAAAGCTTATTCTCCTTCTCCTTCTATATTATAATACATTTGTATGCATTGCCATATATTTATATACAATTTTGAATTGTTTCTCATTCTAAATTTTGAACTTTTTCTTGTTCTAAGTTTGTCTCCTGCTTCTCAGATAAGCTGTTAATCTTGCCCTCCCAGCATAATTGATGGACCAAGGGTCTGATGCAGTAGAAGGCAGCTTTGTGTGTGTTCCTGTGTCCCTTATGAGAGTCTGTTCTCTTCTCCCTCCCAACAGATCACAGGCAGATGAGAACCTTTGAAGAGAATAACATGCAGCAGCAGAGCTTGGAGAGAATAGGCTGGTATGAGATGTATCCCGGGAGCTCGAGAGACATTTCCCTTCTTCGTCGGGAAAGAGCCCAGAAGGCACCCTACCAGTGCACGGTGTGCGGGAAAAGCCTCAGCCGCAAAGACAACCTGATGAGACATCAACAGATGCATGCTGGGAAAACGAAGCCCCACCAATGCTCTTCCTGCTTGAAAACCTTCCGGGACAAGTCCCACCTTATCCGGCACGAGCGAATCCACACGGGGGAAAAGCCCTATAGCTGTTCCGTCTGCGGGAAAAGCTTCAGCTGCAACTCATACCTCATCGTTCACAAAAGGATCCACACGGGGGAGAAGCCATACAAGTGCCCCGTGTGTGGGAAGAGCTTCAGCTGCAATTCTTACCTCCTCCGCCACAAGAGGATGCACACGGGGGACCGGCCCTACAAGTGCCCCGTCTGTGGGAAGAGGTTCACTTGCAATTCCAACTTGATTTTGCACAAAAGGACTCACACCGGAGAGAAGCCCTACAACTGTTCCGCTTGCGCCAAGACCTTCCGCCAGAGGTCCCACCTGATTTTCCACGAGAGGATCCACACCAAAGAGAAGCCCTTCAAGTGCTCGGCCTGCGGGAAGAGCTTCGGCCGCAACGCGCAGCTGATTCAGCACAAGCGGAGCCACACGGGCGAGAAGCACTACCAGTGCCCCATCTGCGGGAAGAAGTTCAGTTGCATGTCGTACTTGATTCAGCACGAGCGGATCCATGGGCAGGACAAGCCGCACAACTGCCCAGACTGCGGGAAGACCTTCCGGCGGAGCACGGAGCTCTCTTCGCACCGAAGAACCCACACCGGGGAGAAACCGTATCAGTGCTTTGAATGCGGGAAGACCTTCAGCTGGAGCGCAGGCCTGACCTCCCACCAGAGAACTCACACTGGGGAGAAACCGTACCGTTGCTCGACATGCGGGAAGAGCTTCAGTCGGAAACGGCTGCTGATCATGCACGGTCGCTTCCACGTGGGGGAGAAACCCCTTCAGTGCACCACAAGCGGGGAGAGCTTCAGTCAGAATTCGCATCTTGTTAGACATGAAAAAACCCACATGGCGGAAGCTGTATAAACAGGCGCCGAGTGATTAAAATGTGGGATTCGCCACCAGAGGATACAGTGATGGCCCCAGGAATAACAGCTTTAAGGGGGGATTAGGTAGATTCATGGAGAAGAAGTCTATCAATGGCTGCTAGCCGTGGTGACTGAGGAGAACCTCTACAGTCAGAGGCACTAATCCTCTGAATCCCAGTGCCAGGAGGCAACATCCAGGGAAGTCCTCGGCCTCTCTGCCTTGTTGTTGGCCATTTGGAGTAACTGATTGGTCACTGTGTGAGACAGGATGCTGGACTAGATGGAGTATTGGTCTGATCCAGTAGGGCTCTTCTTACGTTCTTAACCTCCACATTCAGAGGCACTAATCCTCTGAGTCCCAGAGCCAGAAGGCAACATGAGGGGAAGACCTCAGGCTCTATGGCCTGTTGTTGGCCCTCCCGAGGAACTGTTTGGCCACTGTGTGAGACAGGATGCTGGACTAGATGGACTATTGGTCTGACCCAGCGGGGCTCTTGTGTTCTTATGTTTATTTAAAGGAATCTCAGTCAATTCATTGTACAAGTCAGTTAAACTGGCATCCACTTATAGAGGGACAAAAAAATTGGTTCCTTGTTTTTCGCCCAGGGTCATGGTGCCCCTGGAAGAGGCATTTACTCCCATGTCAGAAAGAGGAGGAATGCCTTTTCTAAAATGGTACCTGCCAGCCACTGGGCTTGTAAATTTGTGTGTTACACTCACTTGCAGGTGTGTTTTTTAAGTTGTAAAAAAAAAAATCTGCTGCCCAATTTATAAGGGGCACTTTTTAAAATAAGCTAAAGGTAAAGGTTTCCCTTTTTACGAAACCGGTTGAATCCAACTCTAGGGTGCGGTGCTCATCTCCGTTTACAAGCCGAAGAGCCAGCGCTGTCCGAAGACTTTTTCTGTGGTCATGTGGCCAGCATGACTAAAAGCCGAGGCGCTCAGAACGCTGTTACCTTCCCACCGAAGCGGTACCTATTTATCTACTCGCAATTTCTTGCTTTCAGACTGCTAGGCTGGCAGGAGCTGGGACCAGAGACGGGAGCTCACTCCGTCGCGCAGCACTAGGGTCTCGAACTGCCGAACTACAGACCTTCCGGACTCTAATCTGGGAGAGCCGGGTTTGATTCCCCACTCCTCCACTTGCACCTGGCTGGATGACCTTGGGCAAGCCGTAGTTCTGGCACAGCTGTTCTTGACAAAGAGCAGTTTCTGTCAGAGCTCTCTCAGTCCCACCTACCTCACAGGCAGTGTTCCCTCTAAGATCAGTTAGTGTGAGCTAGCTCACAGTTTTTTAGCCTCCAGCTCACACATTTTGGTCTTAGCTCAGGAAGGACGACTTCAGAGCAAACTAATTTATGCAGTAGTCAAATCTCTGGCTCACAACTTTAATGCCAGTAGCTGACTAAGCCGAGTTTTTGCTCACAAGACTCTACAGCTTAGAGGGATCATTGCTCACAGGGTGTCTGTTGTGGGGAGGGGAAGGGAAAGGAGTCTGTAAGCCACTCTGAGACTCCTTTGGGTAGTGAAGGGCAGGGTATAAATCCAATCTCTTTTGTTCTCCTTCTTCATCTTTGCCCAGCAAGGCTTCTGTCAACTGGAGATTTGATTGGCCATGCAGACTTTTAAAAATGTTGCTTTGGCAGGAGCAGGTACCACAACACAAGTATCTTCACTGTGTGACTGAAGGTAATTTGGCAACCATTTTGCAGCTGCCTCCATTTCCTGCAGCAGCTATTTTATGACGGCTATTTTGTGGCTGCACTCGCCCTGCAGTGTCAGAATTCTAAAGGTGCCTGCAGTGTCAAAAAAATGGTTGGGGACCCCTGGGGTACACATTTAAATAATCACATAGCACTTGATTTTATGAAACAAAGAAGACCACAATTGCTCATTTTTACATTGCAAAATTAACGGCAGGGCAGAGGGTGTGTCTTGGTCTTACAGATACTGACCAGTCAGCACTGTGCATCCTCTTTCTGCTTCACACTACCAGAATTTGATTCTCTTGATCTTGATCTTCAAGAGAAGATGGTGCACATCACAGCAACAAATGAAGAAAAAGGGGTAACAAGCTCAACCTGAAATACAGTAATAATGCTACAAGGGTCAAGCTGCAGCAGATAAAATAATATCAAAATAAATATTTATTACATGATGAACACAACAGTAAAATTAAAAACGTAGGGCCTGAATATCAGGCTGAATTAGACTCAAAACAAGCTTTACATAAACTGTAATAATTTCCCATACACAGTTGGTGAACCTGTCAGATGACCAACACAAGACCATATGTGTTTTGGCCTCAAGGGCCTTCCTCAGTGGTCTTTAAAAACACGCACTACCATGTATCAGTCCTGACCAGTTGCTATCTCATATATTGTGTGGTATGATATAGACTGATAAAGCAGGCCGTGGATCTCTTCACATGGTAGCCGCACTCACACATAGATCTTCATTGATGTAATAATCCAGTATAGAATTTCCAGTACATCAGGACGTGCGTGTCATCAACCAGGAAATGAAGTCGAAATCACATCACAGCAACATCCTGCAGGTACTTTCCAGAACAGGGTGGATGCTGTTTTTATGTCAATTTATAAGCATATGTAGTCACAGACTGCAAAGCAGAAAACTGGTAAGAAACAGAGAGGCCCTGGGAAACCTTTTCAGAACTCCTTTCAAATGAGAACAGAAGCGACCGATCTTCAGTTTCCTGAGACCACCCAGTTCCAGTGTAACCCTCTGAAATCCATTGCACCTGATGTCTGGGACTGCAATAGTTAGTTGCCTAACTTAAAAGAGCCCCCAATTGAGCAGCAGATGGTTTTTTTAAAAAAACCAAATAGTTTGAATACAAGTGCTTGTGAAAGCGGAGGGTGGTAGGAGATGCATTCCCTTTTCTTTCTCGGGGGCAGGGCTATTTTTGGGCAGGAACGCACAGTAACGGAGTTCTGGCTGGCTCCTGAGTTGGCCACGCCCAGCAGGAACTCATTAGCATAATAGGCTATGCTATGCCTAACAGCAGACACTCATTAGGATTGGCTACATTAGGGGTGTGTGGCCTAACATGCAAATAAGTTCCTGCTACAAAAAAAGCCCAGGCTTTTGACAACAAAGGTCCCTGCCACATGGCAGGTGAAAGGACGCTCGAACTGCGGCTAATGTGAGCCGCAGCAAAGTTGAGACGGCGCGGCGGGATCTCACGGATCCCCCGAGCCGCGGCGCCATCGCGATCAGATGCCGGGGAGAAAGCGACAGTGGGGAGGGGAGCCTGGCGAACTGCGCATGCTCATGCATGCGCAGTTCGGCCAGGAGCCGGGGATGCGCCGGCGCAAGGACGCGCCGGCGATCCCACGGTCAGCGTTGCTGCGGCCCTTCGAAAAGAACCACCTCGGTAGGTGGTTCTTTTTTGGTGCGGAGCAGCGCTGGAAGGGCCGGATCAGGGCCGGAGACGATACGCTTCCCAGATGTTGCGGTGGGATCGCGCCCGTTTGCTCCGCCCCCGTTCCGTCCTGCTCCCGGCCCAAAAGGCCTCGTATGGACAGGACCAAAGTAAACAGAATAAGAAGCAAAAGGTGGGTGTGGTTGGATGACCACACTTCTGGTAACGTGTGGTATGGCCTAATGTGCTAATGAGCTGGGCTGTCAGGGGTGTGGCCTAATATGCTAATAGGTTTCTGCTGTTGGGTGTGGCCTATTATGCTAATGAGTTCCTGCTGGGCTTTTTCTACAAAAAAAGGCCTGCTCGGGGGGGGGGGGATGCTAAGAAGGTGTCTGCCAGGCTAGAGGGGTACAAAATAAAGAAGAAATCCTTCCCCCCCCTCTTTCAGAAAACTGCTTTATTTGAATGCTTATTCCTGCAGCTTAAATGAATGGATGACCTTGCAATCCTAAAAAGAGGCCCGAGGCTTGGAAGGATTTGAGTCTGTTTAGAATTGTTACAGGTGGGCAGCTGTGTTGGTTTGCCGTAGAAGAGCAAAATTCGAGTCCAGGAGCACCTTAAAGACTTGACAAGATTTCCAAGATCTAAGTAGGGTTGCCAAATCGAAAAAGCTTACCGGCGGGGGAGCATCCTGTAGCTCCGGGAGCCGGCCGGGGATGTGTGCGCGTGCGCGCTTCCGGAGTGTCACCGGAAGTGACGTCACACGCTGGGGCGGGGCCACGCCATTTGAGGGGAAAACAAAGAGTTTTCCCCTCAAATGGCGTCGCCCCGCCCCCAGCGTGCGACGTCACTTCCGGGTGACGCACACACGGGGGTGGGGTTTCCCCCGGGCCCCGATTCCGCGGGACCGGGAATCGGGGCTCGAAACCGGGGGGGAATTCCGCCCCCCGGGGGGATTTGGGAACCCTAGGTCTAAGGCAGAGGTGTCAATGCCATTTGTTACGCGGACTGGATCTGACATAAATGTCACTTTTGTCAGGCCAGGCCGTGTGTGCCATAAATGTAATGCCAGGTACCGGAGATAGAAACTGTATAAAGGACAGCAGCTGTTAAGCTCCGAGTTGGTGTGTCCTCACTCCAAGGCCCCCCTGGGCTGGGAGGGGCATGCAAAGGGAAACCCATATGGGCAGACTGGAGAGCCAGTGGTCCAGCACTGGGCAGACACCCCCACGACGCTTGACTGTTGCAGATGAGGTTGTTCCGCCATGCTGAAGCCACATTAGGAGTGGCTCCACCCACTCCCCCGAGCAGTCTCCTGTTCCCTCCCTTGTACTAGTTGCTTGCAGGCTGCATAAGAGCCCTGGATGGCCGGTTCTGGCTCCCGGGCGTTATGTTTGACACCCCTGGTCTAAGGTATAAGAGTTCCAATGTATAAGGTAAAAGCTTACACCCTGGACATCTTGTTGGTCTTTCGAGTGCTAGTGGACTCAAATCTCGTTTAAAATTGCTTTCCAAAACTATGATAAATTCACTGAGGTGACTTTAATGGGGCCTAAGTATGTCTGCCTCTAATGCTGACTTGGATCCTGCAAGTGATCCTCAAGTCACAGCTTCTTTTTCTTACTGTAAATTAACAAGAAAAAAAATCAAAACAAAACTGGGAGG